CATGGAGTATACTATGTCGGCCGGACTCAGCCCAACTTACTTGGTGCAGAATGGATCTCCAAGATGGGAATCTACAGCCTCATGGACACTCTTCCACGAGTCGATCCCGGAACGTCTATCGCAATCAACGCCAGCAGCACCACGTCGAGCAACGAGCAAATCGCAAAGGAACTACAAGACGTTTATCCAGAAGTCTTCAGCAGCGACCTCGGACTATACAAGCTGTCAAAGGCCAGTTTGCGTCTCAAGGCGGACGCAAAACCAGTATTCCGTCCGAAACGTCCGGTACCCTATGCCGCACTTCCAGCAGTGGACAAGGAAATCGAACGACTCGAAGCAAATGGAGTTATTTCGAAGACCAACTACTCAGAATGGGCTGCACCCATAGTCATAGTCAAGAAGGCCAATGGATCTCTGCGGATCTGTGCTGACTTCTCCACGGGCCTAAACGATGCTCTGGACCTTCATCAATATCCACTGCCGCTACCTGAAGACATCTTCGCGACAGTCCTGGACTGGAGGAACGACCACTCGATCGGGTTTAATTACCCAAATTGAGATGGTGAATGCTGCGCATGTTCCGTCATCCAATTCCACGTTAAGCGCTCAGAAGAAACGACAGAATGAGAGGAATCTGAAAATATTACGCGAGCTCACCGCCCTTCCCGCTAATCGTTATTGTTTCGAGTGCGGTCAGCGCGGCCCGACTTATGTGAATATCACGCATGGATCATTTTGCTGTACCAGCTGTTCTGGAATTTTAAGAGGATTAAATCCACCACATCGTGTTAAATCAATCTGCATGGCATCCTTCACGGCTGAAGAGATTGAACGACTCCGCAGCCTTGGAAATGAAGAGAATTCGCACACTTGGTTAGGACTATACTCCGGTGCACCACCAAAAATGACAAACAAGGATGAGATTACATCATTTCTTGTCAAAAAGTATGAGAAAAAGGAGTGGTACGTGTCGCGGTCGGAACTTGAGGAACAAGAGCGCCTCTTGAAATCAAGCCAAAGAAGTTTCTATTCAATGCGGAACTAGTGTGCAAAGTGCCGGAAGCTCATCGTCAAAGCCGTCGGAATTGGACCTATTCGCCACCGATCCTGTTCGCAGCTTTTTTGGCTTTGCATAGGAATGGGGTTGGAGTGTAATGATAGTACCGAGTGCCGTCCATTCCCCCCCCCCTCCCCGCTATCTTCATGGTGCAGCAGCGAAACACGGACTCAACGCTTAGGGAACAACCAATAGTGAAGGCGCAAAAAGTAATACGATATGGCCGTGGCTAGGCGCCCGGCTGCCAGGGCGGTAGCGTGAGACGGAATAAGAGTCATCACCGGGTATCACTAGCCTGCAACCTCGATCTAATGCACTTTTGAGCATGCTACTGTAACCGAATGGTCGAGCGGTTAGCATAACTCAAGATCGTGAAAGGTGACAAAATTCAATCCAGTGAATTGTTTATGCCTCTGCTATTAATGAGAGCACCGCAAGGAACATCGTTGAGAGCACCGCAAGGAACATCGCAATCACCACCGTTCACCGACGAAAAAGTGCCATCATCCGTCCGCTGGGCAACAACGAAATGAATTTGACCCTTCGCATCTTGCAGCGCCTAGACGAGATCGTTTAGGGGATTTCAGAAGATACCCTCCTGCAGATTAGTAGCAAATGAGAATGGGGAACACCGGTAAGGGCCACACTATTTCCAGCGCCCTACTGAATATGGTCATGCTCTGAGGGTGGCATTACAGTTTACTTCAACAGAAGCCGTCGGTTGATAACCGCGAGCTTATGTCCTAGAGTTTTCAGCAAACGCACCGCGGGACTAGATATATCACATTTTCGTCGAAGGATGACAACCTGTTGAGTGGGAATTACGCTTTAACGCTCAAGAAGGGAAAGCGTACCAACCTCGTCTGCCAAGGGTATGAGATCAGGTGCTGCACAAAACCCACTAAGCTCTGTGGTGTCAACAGCTTTTCGCAAGCATCACAAAATCTTTTCTGAATAGACGAACTGGTTCAACACTATTCTTTCACCGGCTTTTCTTCCTCCTGAACAGAAGCGAGAATCCTCACACACTTAGCACTTGTTGTCGGCCATCCTACAAAAAAAATGAAGGGCCTGGCATAAGATGTCACAGCATGTCAAACTTGCATCGTATTGGACCGTGGACCTGTATCGGATCGTTGCCTGCACATCACGTCACGTGGTTTTTAACAGTTCGGAAAGACTTAACAAGCATTCTCGAGACGCGAGCTGTGAGCCACACGAGCTTAGGGTTAAAGAAGTGAAATAGAGCCAACCCTCAATTTTGCCAAATACGATGGCGCCTACCTTAACATGTTGGTAGAACTTGGAGGGTTGCTTTTTCTTCTTCACAAAGGAACTCTCTTCTATGGTTGGCGTTCGCAGTCTTGTTCGTCGCGGTTTCTTTCGGCGCAGCATCCTTCTTATAGCACTTCTCGACGCTTTTTTGAATTTATACTCTGAATTCTTATTAACATTAGAAATTGAGCTCGTTTACAATCAAAAGTGAACCATGGACCAAATTCAAGGACACGAAACTAAGCAACACTCATTTTTTTCAAGCTATCCACATGAGATTACTCCAGGTATGAATAATAAAAATGTAATGTCCAACCAATCTTTTTCGCGGTTTTATATCGTGCATTCCACAATTGATACTTGCGCTCAAAGTCCATCAGCTGCACAACGCACTTAGCGTGCGCCTGCACTGTGGTCGCTCCTTTCGTACAGGTTAGGTGAGCGGCTCTCTGAAACTCTGGCACGTTCTCCAGCCTAAATTTCACCCACTTAAAAATTACTCTTCAGGCTGCTCGGAAACTTGATTACTTCTTGGTGGCTACAGTAGCCATGAGACCTGAAACGGCCTGATCTAACCAGTGCTGGTAAAGTTCGACTCCAGCTTCAGTGGATACGAAAATCGTAGTCTTCTTGCCGTCATAATGTGCTGTGTTCACCTTCGACGATTCATCGTCGTCATTCACAGACGTCATCCTAAACTTAGACAGTTTCATGGTAGGGAATTTTTCGGCAGTACCAGGCCGTAGGAAGTCAGGAGTGAAAGAGTAACGAACTCAATCAAATTGCATGAAAAATCATTTTCTGAATTTTCACGAGGGGGTGGGAGTGGGCTCTCAGATCGTGGGTATTTTCGAAACGTGTTCGTTGCATAACGTGAAGTTCTTGCGGGGAACACAAAAGCGGAGTTCATTCTCTATCTGCGTCTTTGGGAGTGCTAAGACGGGGCCGAACTTAGCAAGAGGAAGCTTTTCTGTTTTTGGAAGGAGGATTCGGGCGTTTTGCCAAACAACCTTTCCTGGCTTTCTCATTGTCAGAAGCGCGTAGCAGAAATGAACTGCACTTTTGTGGTCTCCGCATGAATCCTCTATAGTTAATAATGCTGCAATCAGTCCGGTCCCAATCAGCAGTCCTCACCTAGGGCGTTCCCAGCACTGGTTGTTTTCCTCCGATCCCATTGGTCAATCAAGGCAGCAGGAAGCAGGGTCAAGCTGCCCTCCCCACGCCGTGCCCGATAGAAACAATATAACATGCAACAAGTCATTTCGAAAATAGGTTTTTCGCTGAAAGACGTTCCTTGTTAATGGAGGAATTTACTGAAGAAGCTGAACTAGCGAAAAGGGCTGATACAAAAGTGACTTTATTCCTATCGACTGTGCTGCTCAGTACTCACTGCAATCGCTTTTTTACCCCTCCCCTCCCTTAGCGACCAAATATGAGCCCAGTGGAGTTCCCCAAACGACGTACACTGACCCAACGTGTTCACACACGCAACGGATGAGTGCGCGAAAAAGAATTCTCAGAAGCTTATGCCCCCTGACGTTACTGCAATTTTCAAGTTTTGTCATGCAGCTTTACTTGTTTCCATGAGCAATTTTGCCGCCTCACTCTCACTTCAGTATGTTCGGTTCTATCTGTCTAAACAGTTAGGACCGAACATACTACTAACCTACATTACATCATTTATTTCGCTACATTGTAGAAGCAGCGTCTGAAAGCGATCTGGTCTATGTGCAGTAATCTGGTGGAGAGGCTAGAAGGACAGAGAGGGCAGCTAATGCAAAATGCCAATGTTTGTATTACCTTAAAGACACATAGTACGCTCATACACATTGAGGGTGTATGAGACTATCAGCCCCCCAGATGTCGATGTGTCGTGGTCCCCCCGCCCAAACATGCCCAGGAATGGAGATACAGGGCCGTGAAACACGCTAATTCTTCCATGCTCCGCCCACTGCCTTTTTACGGCGCAGATTCCCGCCGTTCATAACATCCGTCGTAAGCGCGCCTGTCGCGTGCGGCTCCTTGGCACTTTGCCAAGTCCTTTAATTGCGCTCTCAAATACAAGTAAAACGCAATTTCCTGATGCGGATAACATTGGAGGTGCTACAAAATAAGAGCAGAAGATGATGACAAGGGCCAGAACTCAAGAGCAACTCGGCTGCATCTGCAGTATCCATCAAGGGCCGCGCATTCCACAAAACATGAAAATAAAAACGGCATACTCGTTAGTTTAATACAAGCAAAACGCAATTTCCTGATGCGAATAAAATTTAGGTGTTGCTCATACTTCAAAATCCATGTACAAGGAGATGAAGATGACACAGGCTAGAAATGAAGCACAACGATGTAAATGTAAATAAAACAAAATGAAAAAATCAAGGAAAGGCAAATTAGTTAAAATCGCCTGTAAATTTCTACGATCCGGCGCGAATCCGGCGCCAAAGCCATAGAAATACTTAGAATAAACGAGTGGGACGCTTGGATTGTTTTTATTCTCATGTTTTCTGGGAATGCGCGGCCTCTGATGGATTCTGCGGATGCAGCCGAGTTGCTCTTGAGTTCTGGCCCTTGTCATCATCTTCTGTTCTTATTTTGTAGCACCTCCAATGTTATCCGCATCAGGAAATTGCGTTTTACTTGTATTTGAAAGCGCAATTAAAGGACTTGGCAAAGTGCCAAGGAGCCGCACGCGACAGGCGCGCTTACGACGGATGTTATGAACGGCGGGAATCTGCGCCGTAAAAAGGCAGTGGGCGGAGCATGGAAGAATTAGCGTGTTTCACGGCCCTGTATCTCCATTCCTGGGCATGTTTGGGCGGGGGACCACGACACATCGACATCTGGGGGCTGATAGTCTCATACACCCTCAATGTGTATGAGCGTACCATGTGTCTTTAAAGAGTGTGAAGCCGATCAGTTCAGCGGGAGTGACCGGCTTAAGAGATTCATTTACGGTTTGGTTCAAGATTTGGAGGGGGGTAACAATCATCACCTCACCAACTCCGTCTTGAATGGCTATATCACATTTGATTAGTCAAATGTGTTTTCGGAAGCTTGACCAGCCACCCAGAACATTACGTATCACGTTGTTCATCAAGCACTACCGGACTTTGAAGGCAGTTGACACGATAAATCTGTAAGACTGTACGACTAATACATCTAGGACCGCTGAGTTAAATTGAATCGCCCTTCAACCGTAGCGCCTTTTCCAAGGAAAGTACCCTTATAGCGTCCTATAAAGCTGCAAACACGCCGATCAGAACGCCTGTGTACGTATTATCCAAAATCCCTGAGATGCAGTAGGCGTGCTGCACACTTCAACTGAATGTTCAACCAACGGCGGCGTGGTTTTGGCGAGACATTGGTTTCTGGCCAGTTGTAGATAACGCAATGTCTTTTCCAGCAAAAAACAAAATGACAGTTGTCTCAAATTTAAATGTCTCACGAGTAACCCTTCTTATGCCACCCCCAAAAGCCACGCCTACCCCGTCCCAGGGATATGGAGTATACATTGCAGCCGCGTCTACCCTAACGGTCATCGGTACGACGCCAACGGGAAACCCGTCCGAAATCGATTTCCGAGTAGTGTAGAACAAGGACTTTTTTGCAAGTTTTTCACTGTTTGCTTCCTTTTTTTCGCCATTTCTACTTTTTAGCACCCCTGCTACCATTTTAGATAGTGTACCGAATTATCGTTTCAACTGCCTTCAAGG